GAAAAGCAGTAGTAATAAAAATATAAAGAATAAACTGGAAAAAGTATTTGTAGTAAATGTAACAGTAAAAGTTTTAATATATTTCATATAAAATATAGAGTTCATACAAATGGTATATTAGTAAGTAGAAAATGGTCATGAGCCAGGCTCGGTGACTCAGCCTGTAATCCCACGCCTTGGGAGGGTGAGGTGAGTGGATTGCCTGAGTCCGCGGGTTCGAGACCCGCCTGGGCAACTTGGTGAGACCTCATCTCTACAATAAAAAAAAGAAAAAAAAAGCCGGGTGTGGTAACGCGCACTTGTAGTTCTAGCTACTTGGAAGTCTGAGGTGGAAGGATCGCCGGAGCCCAGCAGGTTGAGGCTGTGGTGGCCGGGAGCGGCCACTGCACTCCAGTCTGGGTGACAGAGTGAAACAAAAAAATGAATTTTAGCCCAGGTAGCCAAATAGTTGATGGAGGAAAGCATTTCTTTTTAGGATTCTAGCTTATAAATGAAAAAGGAATGATTGTCAACACTTTTCACCTTCTAAATAAAATAACAAGTGGAGACAGTGATCATCAGTGGCTGCTAAAACAATTAGGTTGGAATGCTGATGGGAAACTTGATAATAATTGGATCAGGTGGACCATATTTGTCCCACTGATCTATCTTGGCATCTCAAAAAAGAGACCATACATATTTTGTGTGTTGCACCATAGTGTGGTAGGAGTATAGAGTACTACCTGTTTAGTTTTCTTGCTAAAACAAAATCTGAATTGGAGCAAGCCCCTGGGTTTCCATTCTAATTTTTAGAAAATACAAGGGACAGAGGAGCATACAATTAGCAAAATACAGAATGTGGGAAGCTATAGGAAAATTTACTTGTTTTCTTCAGTAAGTAAATTGGAAGAAAAAAGGGTGGGAGAAACTAACAGATTAAAAGACTTTTTAACCAGATGGACGATATGTGTGAGTCTATCAATTTGAACAAATCTACTGGTTTGTTTTTTTTTGAGTTGAAGTCTCACTCTGTCACCCAGACTGGAGTGCAGTGGCCACTCCCGGCCACCACAGCCTCAACCTGCTGGGCTCCGGCGATCCTTCCGGCTCAGCCTTCCGAGTAGCTGGAACTACAGGCGTGCGCTACCACACCCAGCTAATTTTTTGATTTATTGTAGAGATGAGGTCTCACCAAGTTGCCCAGGTGGGTCTCAAACCCGCAGGCTCAGGCAGTTCACTCACCTCAGCCTCCCAAAGCGTAGAATTTCAGGCTGAGCCACCGAGCCTGGCTCAAATCTACTGTTAAAAGTTTTTTTCTTAGGACATTGACTAAATAATCTGATGTTAAGGAATTATAGTTCTTTCCTTTTTTTTTTTGAGTCATACTCTCACTCTATCACCCAGGCTGGAGTGCAGTGGCACACTCACAGCCACTGCAGCCTTAACCCACTGGGCTCAGGTGATCCTTCCGTCTTGGCCTTCCAAGTAGCTGGAACCATAGGCATGTGCCACCACGCCCAGCTAATTTTTTTTATTTATTATTGAGACAAGGCTGCCATGTTGCTCAGGCTGGTCTCAAACCCCTGAGTTCAGGCAATCCTCTCGCCTCCAACTCCCAAAGTGCTGGAATTACAGGCTTGAGACATTGGACCTGGTCTTGTTTTTTGATGTGTAAAAAAAAAATTTTTTTTGAGTTGGAGTGACACTCTGTCATCCAGGCTGGAGTGCAGTGGCACACTCACACTACCCCTGCTTTGACCTGCTGGGCTCTTGTGATCCTTCTGTCTCGGCCTTCCAAGTAGTTGGAACCAGAGGCATGTGCCACCACGCCTGGCTAATGTTTTTGATTTATTGTGGAGACGAGATCTTGCCATGTTGCTGAGGCTGGTCTTGAACCCCTGAGCTCAGCAATCCTTTTGTCTCAGCGTTCCAAAGTGCTGTGATTACAGGCTTGGCCACCTAGCCCTGCCTAAAGTATAAAATTTTTTAAAAAATCTGTGTTATTTTTAGAAATACATATCGGAGTATTAATGGTTGAAACATTTGTGTTTCAAAATAACCTAGTTTGTGGAGGGAGAGTGACTGGAGGTATAGATGAAACAAGATAAGCCATGTGCTGATACTTGTTAAAAATGGGTAGTGGATACATGATGGTTCAATGTAGTGTTCCCTCTACTTTTATAAATGTTTTTAAATTTCCATAACAAAAAGTTGTAGAAGTATGGTAGTTAAGTCTTTAGTTGAAAAACATTTTTTTTGTCTCCCCCAAACTGTAGCTTTACATATTCTGTGACAATTTAGTATAATGCTTTTCTAAATTAAAATTAATTCGAAATGTCTAGCATTTAAAGAAACCTGTGATAAACTGTATATATGTATGTATATATATATCTTTATTTATTAATAGACAGAGTCTCACTCTGTTGCCCAGGCTGGAGTAGAGTGGTGCTGTCATAGCTTACTGCAGCCTCAAACTCCTGGACTCACGCAATTCTCCTGTCTCAGCCTCCTGAGAAACTGAGACCACAGGTGTGCGCCACCATGCCTGACTGATTGGTTGATTGGTTGGTTGGAGGCTGGAGTGCAGTGGTACAATCATGACTCCACCTCCTGGGCTCAAGTAATCCTTCCACCTCAGCCTCCTGAGAGGCTGGGACTACTGAGTGCCCACACCCTGCCAATTTTTTAACTCTTTGTAGAGACGAGGACTCCGTATTTTGCCCAGGCTGGTCTCAATCTCCTGGACTCAAGCAATTCTCCTGTCTTGGCCTCCCAAAGTGCTGGGGTTGCAGGCATGAGCCACTGTGCCAAGCCAGTTTTTAAAGTTATTTTGTTTTTTTGTAGAGATGGGATCCCACAATATTGCCCAGGTTGATCTTGAACTCCAGATCTTTGGCCTCCTCAAGTGTTAGGATTATAAGTGTGTACCACTGCACCCAACTGATAAACTTTTTTTTTTTATAGGAAAATAAACATTTCTTAAGTAGTTTTACTAACTGGCTTCCTCTGTTTCATTAAAGAACAGAACACCTGGGAGATCAGTAAAATTCTCATTAAAAAGCATAATTTTAGGTCTCTATTTCTAATACCTTTATATTTTATGTCAATGCATGTAAGTTTTTATATAAGTAGTAAAATCCAGCCATATTAAAATAAAGTAATTCCTTGTTCTAGATAATAAATTAGAAATATTTTTGCCATTACTGTGGATAATATAAATGTTTTCAGTTATAGGTATGGTTTATTTTGATAGTGTTTTCATAAGTGCTTTTTCAGTTAAGATTTGGCATGCTAGGGAAATGAAGACACTCTATCAATACTTACTTCCATTTTCTAACTCCTTTGACCACAGTCTCGACCTACTGGGCTCAGGCAGTCCTTCCACCCCAGCCTTCCAAGTAGCTGGAACTACAGGCAAGATCCACCATGCCTGACTAATTATTATTATTATTATTTAGGTCGGAAAATATAGTTTATTTAGAAAGTAAATTAGAAGAGAGAGAGAGAGGAAATTTCCCTCTCCAAGGTAGGAGAGGAGGTTATTTTTGGTTTATTGTAGAGATGAGGTCTTGCCAAGTTGCCTAGGCTAGTCTTGAACCCCTGAACTCAGGAAATGCTCTCACCTCCAATTCCCAAAGTACTGAAATTGCAGGCATAAGTCACCACGCCGGACTTGCATTAATCTTTTTATGAAATGTTTGTTCAACTGGGCTCGGTGGCTCAGCCTGTAATCCCGTGCCTTTGGGAGGCTGAGGTGAGTGGATTGCCTCAGCCCACGGGTTCGAGACCCCCCTGGGCAACATGGCGAGACCTCATCTCCACAATAAATCAAAAATTAGCCGGGCGTGGTAGCGTGGCCACCTGCACTCCAGTCTGGGCGACAGAGTGAGACTCCAACTCAAAAAAAAAAAAAAAAGAAATGTTTGTTCATGTCCATAGTGTACTTTTCTTTATTTCCAGCAATTTTTAGTATATAGTCAATAAATAAAGGGCCCAGTTTTCTGTATGGGCTTTAATTTGGCTGAAGGTAATAATTTCAGATTTGGACTTGTGAAGTTTTAAATGCTTATGGGACATCCAACTGTTGATTTTTACTTGGCAGCTGTATACAGACTATAGCTTCACTCATGCAAGTTTCCTGACAGGTTTTGGCTTACTTTTTGGCTTCTAGAGACCCTTCTTTATCTTGTGGCTAGAAAATAAAGTGTCTCTCTCTCTCTCTCTCTCTCTCTCTCTCTCTCTCCTCTCTTGATTTGACGTATTGTTTGTGACTGAGGGACAGAAGATCTGATTTATATTGTTAATTTTCCACTTACTCTGAAATATGAGAGGGAATTCTCCCCCAAAACTTATTTTTTGGAGAGCGGGCCCTTTGTAGTACAGGCTTCCTCTGGGTAAGTGTTCTAGAACCCATCAGCATCAGCGTACCAGCTATTGTTGTTGTGAGAGGCTATGTTTGGCTTCAGTGAATTTTTTGGGGGGATTCTTTCAACATGTTTGCCCTTTTCTTGATGAGTGATTTACACAAACAACCTACCTACATTGTGCTGTGTTCAGCAGTCTTTGACCAAAAATGGCATGGCCCCCGTGCCCACCCTCCCTATTCACCTGGTCTTACCCTGAGTGACTTTTGTTTCCCTGGATGAAAAAATCCTCAAAGGGAAATCTTTTGCCAATGTGAAAGAATTAAAACAAAAAATGGCAGAAGCACTAAAAGCTTCAAAGTTGATGAGTTCAGAAACTGTTTTGAGCAGTGGAAAAAGTGTCTTGGTAGGTGTATTGCATCAAAGGAAAAGTACTTTAAAGGTGACTGAAGTTAAACATGTAGGAATAAATACACAATTTTTTATAAATAAATTCTGGTTTTTTTGGGGTCTCTCAGTTAAAGGATGAAAAAAATCTCTGGATATGTATGTTCTGGATGCAATTTTTAAGACAATTGTAATATGAAACATAATCTTATATATATTTATAATAGCTTAAAATAAGAAATAATTTATTATTATATACTTGTTTCTCAGGTCTTAGAAAAATACCCCAATACACCCATGAGTCATAAAGAAATTCTTCAAGTTATCCAGAGAGAAGGACTAAAAGAAATCAGGTGAGTTTTTTAAACATTATCGGTAATAATTATAATACTTGAGTAGAGAATTTGGTAGTATTACATAGTAGTAGGAATAATCTTATTCCTGAAGATTATTTAGTAATAAGTGCTTTGTTAATTTCTGATGTATTCAGTTGGCAGATCTTTGGAGTTTTAAACTCATCACATTGTTTTAAAATCAAAAGTAAGTTAACAAATTTTTAGTGAGCAAGAGGGGAGCTACCTCCAATCCCATGCACTTTAATTTTTAGGAAGGCCTGGAGCCATCTTTAAGCCTTCATCTATCACTTCAGGCTTTTGGTTTAATGAGTATGGCCATTAAGAGCTAAAAATCACTCTAGTGCAGGAAGAATGCTAGAGGAACAGAGAGTCTAGGGGGAAAAATATTGGCCAAGAAAGCTAAAATGGAAAAGACACATAAAGTAGTATCTATGTCAAGTAATTGTCTTATCATGTCCAAATATAATAGGCTGGGTCAAGTAATATAGTACTAAAGATAGTACACTCTTTAATTGTAATTTACATTGCAATAGCACATAATAGTGTTCATAATCAGGATGCTCTGTTATCAAGATATGTTAAAATTAATGTTAAGTATAATACTTTGTATATTAAGGTAGAAATTTGAGAGTCTGAGCTGGGTACAGTGACTCATGCCTGTAATCCCAGCACTTTGGGAGGCAGAGGATTGCCTGAGTCCAGGTGTTCGAGACCATCCTGGGCAACTTGGCCAGACCCAGTCTCTACAGTCAATCAAAAAATTAGCCAGATATGGTGGCCTGCGCCTGTGGTTCCGGCTACTTTGGAAGAATCACCTGAGCCCATCAGGGCAAGGCTTTGATAGCCATGGTCATGCCACTGCACTTGAGAACAGAACACATTCAAAACACACACACACACACACACACGAATTGAGAGTGTTCGTTAGAGAGATTTTCGTCAAGATGGGAAATGTTTGCAGTGCCTTTAAACTGCTACTGGTGGTTTTCAACTTTGGATGGTATTGTGTAACACCCTTAGGGAAAGACCAGAATTTTGGGAGATCATTTTTTATCCTCACAGTGACTTGGGTGGAGAGCATTCAGTGGCATTTAATAGGCAGGTAACAGGAATGCTAATGTCCTGCTTTGTGCTAGACAGTCCTTTATGTTAAATAGTTGTTCATCTCAGATGTCAGTAGTGTTCCCTTTGAGAAACAATGAACTGTGCTCAAATATTTGTAAATGGACAGCAGTATATTTCTTGATACATAGCCATTGTATGTTCTAGATTTTAATTCTCATTTTCTTTTCTTTAAAAAAATTTTTATTTTGAGTTCAGATTTCACTCTGTTAGCTAGGCTGAAGTAGACTGGCATGATCACAGCTCACTGCTGCAGCCTTGACCTCCTGGGCTCAGGTGATCCTTCCACCTCAGCCTCTCAAGTTACTGGGACTGTAGGTGTGTGCCACTATACTGGCTAATTTTTTTTTTTTTTGTAGAAGTAAGGTCTTGCTATGTTGCCCAGGCTGGTCTTGAACTCCTAGGCTCAAGAAATACTCCCATCTTGGCCTCCCAAAATGCTGAGATTACAGATGTGGGCCACGGCGCCCAGCCATAATTAGCTTTTAAAAGTATCTTCTAGTTGGGCTCGGTGGCTCAGTCTGTAATCCCGTGCCTTGGGAGGCTGAGGTGAGTGGATTGCCTGATCCCATGGGTTCGAGACCTGCCTGGGCAACTTGGCGAGACCTCATCTCTGCAATAAATAAAAAAACTAGCTGGGCGTGGTAGCGCGCGCCTGTAATTCTGGCTACTTGGAAGGCTCGCTGGAGCCCAGCAGGTCGAGGCTGCGGTGGCCGGGAGCGGTCATTGCACTCTAGTCTGGGCGACAGAGTGAGACTCCAACTCAAAAAAAATAAATAAATAAAAATAAATAAAAAAATAAAAAAATAAAAGTATCTTCTGTAAGGTACAGTACTTAAAAATTAATTGTCCTTAATTTATTGATGATATAATGCTAAATTTTTTGGTTGGGTGTGGTGTCTAATGCCTGTAATCCCAGCAAGAGGATTGCTTGAGCCCAGGAGTTTGAGACCAGCCCGGGCAACATACCAAGACCATGTATCCACAAAAAATAAAAAATTAGCTAGGCATGATGACACATGCCTGTCTTCCTTGCTACTTAGGAGGAGGAGGTGGGAGGACCCCCTGAATCCAGAAGTGTAAGGTTGCACTGAGCCGTGATCCTGCCATTGCACTCCAGCCTATGTGACAGAGTGAGACTCTGACTAAAAAAAAAAAAAAAAAAAAATCTAAATTTTTATTTGAATTAGATTTATTACATTTGGATTAATTAAAACACAGTACCCTTTGGGAGACTGAGGTGAGTGGATTGCCTGAGCCCGCGGGTTCGAGACCCGCCTGGGCAACTTGGCGAGACCTCGTCTCTACAATAAATAAAAAACTAGCCAGCGTGGTAGCGTGCGCCTGTAGTTCCAGCTACTTGGAAGGCTGAGGCGGAAGGATTGCCGGAGCCCAGCAGGTCGAGGCTGCGGTGACCAGGAACGGCCACTGCACTCTAGTCTGGGCGACAGAGTGAGACTCCAACTCAAAAAAAAACAACAAAAAAGCACAGTACCCATGTAATCACATATCAATTTGCACAAAGTTACAGGAGAAAATGACAGTGCTTGTTGTGATGCTGAAGAACAAATTTTTGTTAAAATAAAAATCATTAGAGGGTCTTATAGAGTAGGAATGAGCAGGAGGTTTTGCTCTTTTTTTTTTTTTAAATAACATTAGACTTTTAATACATACCAGGCAAATATACCAGGAAAAAGTCTGGTATATCGATAGTAGACTCCCTCAGTCTCTTTAGGTATGAATATCAGTTGCACTGTCATCCATCTCTAACATAGTAAGACTCTGGTACTTTAAACTTACCATTATAATTTCCAGGGGACAGGCAAGAACAGTAAATAAGTAAAGAATAGCAAAGAAATAAAGGGCAGGTAGAAAAAAAGGAATTTTTTTTTAAGGTAGTATAATTGTAGAATAATTAGAAATAATTTCTGGTTTCACTTAGTGACAATTTACAAGTAGCTTCCTGGTTGAATGTGTTGCGGTTATGCAGTTATGTGACCACCAAGCAGTTCTGAGTAACCAGTGACTTTCCTTTTGCCAAATCTACAGGATATTTAGTTTTTGCCTCTCTTACTTTTCAGAATTATTTCACATAGGAGACTACTTACTTTCTTCTTTGAAACTTTTGATACTTAAAGTGATACCACAAGCATTTCTATTTTTCTTGTCTTTTTTCTAAGCTATCCATCTCAGTGTTTGTGCTGATAACCTTCTCTACACCTTGAATGCAATTTTGTCCATTCCCACAGTGTTGAATATCATTTATGTTTTATCAATTCCCAAATATGTAGGGAAGCTACTTTCCATCTCAGCTTTTGTATATGACCTCATAGCAAGGAGCATGCGTTCCCTCAGGTATTTGAGTTAAGTCTTTCAGATCTCAATTTGAATAACTTTTTTTTTTTTGAGGCAAGGTTTCACTCTGTCACCTGAGTTAGAATGTAGTGGCATGCATGATCACAGCTCACTGCAGCCTCGACTTCCTGGGCTTAAGCAATCCTTCTACCTCAGCTTCCTGAGTATCAGGGACTACAGGTGCCTACTACCACACCTGGCTAATTTTATTTTATTTTATTTTGTAGAGATGAGGTCTTACTGTGTTGCCCATGGTGGTTTCAAACTCCTGGACTCAGGTGGTTCTCCTGCCTCAGCCTCCCAGAGTGCTGGGATTACAGGTGTGAGCCACCACACCCAGCTTAATTTTTTTTTTTTTTTACTTTTAAAATTAAGAGTTTCTTTAAGTGTTCTCTGTAGTCTTTGAGCTATACCATTCCATAGTTCTCAGGGTCCATTCAAAGGAGAAACTACATGGTAATTTGAACAGGGAAGTTATTCACTGGAAGTTATTAACAGGTTAGCCTAGAATTAACTATTCAAAGGTAAAGAGAACACAAAATAATTTAGTAATAGCAGATATAAGGAATAACCACTACCTCTAGGGTTGAGGCAGTGTACTGTAAGAGGGAGCAGCTTTCAGCGAGGTCCCTCTTAGCCTCAGGTTGTGATTCAGATCTCCCAGGAGAAAGTGGGGCTGTAACTCAGCGGATGATTCAGTGGATAACAAAGTGGAACGACAAAGTTCACTGGTTCTGTAACCTGAGGTAGCCATAGGAAACTGCCTGTTAGGTACTAGAATAACTTGCTGGAAGGCCATCTGCTGGGGCAACTGTCCAACTTCCTGGGGAGCCAGCTGAGGCACCAGCAGAATTTTTGGGAAGCCAACCACCACCTTGTTGAAGGTTGAGTGCCACTGAAGTGTCTGTCATGCTGTCGGCTGCTGCATGCCAGAAGAGCATGCAGGCAAGAGCACAGTGAAACCAGGTAGAAAAGTCTCTTCTTTGACAAGGCCCTTCTACTTACAGAGCTCAACACTGAGCCTCTGGTGGAGGAGAAACATTTACAACTCACTGTCAGAGAATGGCAAAGAGGGTTGAATTTGGAGCTGCAAGTCAGTAACTTGTTAACTGGTACAGAAACCTTCAGTGGTTTTTCTATTAAACAAATATTCTTTATTGACTAGTTTGGCTACCACTTTGGTTTATATATGCTCTTTCCGCTTGTACCCCGGGTAAACTGTTCCTGTATAGGATCTAAGATTTCTTGCCTTTACTCAGGATGCTGAGCTATCTTCTGTCTCCATCTTTTCATGAAAAATTCGGATGATCTTTATTGTTGTTTTTTTTTGAGTTGGAGTCTCACTCTGTCACCCAGATTGGAGTGCAGTGGCCACTCCCAGCCACCGCAGCCTGGACCTGCTGGGCTCCTGCGATCCTTCCGCCTCAGCCTTCCAAGTAGCCGGAATTACAGGCATGCGCTACCACGCCTAGCTGATTTTTTGATTTATTGTAGAGATGAGGTCTCGCTGCCCAGGTGGGTTGCGAACCCGCGGGCTCAGGCAATCCACTCACCTCAGCCTCCCAAAGGCGCGGGATTACAGGCTGAGCCACTGAGCCCGTCTGGATGATCTTTAAAAATCACCACAAAGCTGGCCTTTCCCTCTTCACCTCAAAGTAATCTTTCCATTTCTGAATCTTTATTTTTTGAAGGAAGGTTATTTTACTTTCTATTTTATATTATACGTAGTAATATATATTCATTTCTCTTGCTAGATTAATTTTTTTTTTTTTTTTTGGGATGAGGGTCTTACTCTGTCACCCAAGCTGGAGTGGAGTGGCACGATTATGGATTACTACACCCTTGACCTGGACTTAGGTGATCCTTCTGCCTCAGCCTCCCAAATAGCTGGAGCTACAGGCACGTGCCACCATGCCTGGATAATTTTTTGATTTTTTTGGTAGAGATGAGGTCTCACTATGCTGCCTAGGCTGGTTATAGATTAATTTTTAAAAATTGAACTTTATGATCAGTTTCTTTTAGGAGACTAGATATTCAATACCAAAGACAGATGGGGCCTAACTATTTTAATTATATATTCATAGAATTTCAGAGAAAAGAAATAAGGAATTTTATATTCTTTTAAATGAGAAATTCAAATTCTTTGTACTTAGTGATTTGAAAAATTGGAAATGCAAATTTGTACCTGAGAGATACAATAAGAATATTTTAGAACTGAGATGACTTTGGAAATTATCTGACTGCAACTTATGATTTTTCATGGAATGAGTATGTGCCCCTCCCAAGTTAGTGTTTCCAAATTGTATTATGTTGTGTTTTTCTTGAAATTCTCTTGTATTGTTTTCTTTTGGTTTTAGTCAAAATTTTATGAAGAGATATTTCAAACTTAAAACATATGGAACAGGCCGGGCTCGGTGACTCAGCCTGTAATCCCGCGCCTTGGGAGGCTGAGGTGAGTGGATTGCCTGAGCCCACAGGTTTGAGACCTGCCTGGGCAACTTGGCGAGACCTCATTTCTACAATAAATCTAAAAATGAGCCGGGCGTCTTAGCGCATGCCTGTAATTCTGGCTACTCGGAAGGCTGAGGCGGAAGGATCGCCGGAGCCCAGCAGGTCGAGGCTGCGGTGGCCGGGAGCGGCCACTGGACTCCAGTCTAGGCGACAGAGTGAGACTCCAACTCAAAAAAAAAAAAAAAAAAAAAGGAACAAATATAAAAATTATAAAACATAATAAAAACACATGCTCAGCCAGGCTTGGTGGCTCAACCTGTAATCCCGTGCCTTTGGGAGGCCGAGGTGAGTGGATTATCTGATCCCGCGGGTTCGAGACCCACCTGGGCAACTTGGCGAGACCTCATCTCCACAATAAATCAAAAATGAGCCGGGTGTGGTAGCACGCGCCTGTAGTTCTAGCTACTCGGAAGGCTGAGGCAGAAGGATCGCCAGAGCCCAGCAGGTCAAGTCTGCGGTGGCCAGGAGTGGCCACTGCACTCCAGTCTGGGTGACACAGTGAGACTCCAACTCAAAAAAAAAGACCAAAAAAAACCCAACACATGCTCACCAATACCCTTGGAGCTGCCCCTCTGCTTCTCCATGCTCCCCTTTACTCCCCATATTGTGCTGGGTAGAACTTTCACTACTGTGTTAGTTAGGAGTTGTGAGAATGCAGGCTCTTACTTTGTTTTTAGGAGGAAAACATTGTCTTTTACTGTTTGATATGATACTACCTGTAGGTTTTTCTTTATTAAGGAGAAGGAAGTTCCCTTCTACATTTATTTCCAAGGGCTGCTATATCAAGGTACCCCATGTTGGTTGGCCTTAGACAACAGAAATTTATTCTGTTAAAGTTCCGGCTTTGTAAAACAAATTGAGAAGTGTTTTCTCCTTTTCTGTTTTCTGGAAGGTATTGTATAAAATTGGTGTTCAAATGTTTCGTTGAATTTTCAGTTGAAATTTCTGGACCTAGAGGTTTCTTTTTCAGGAGCTTTTAATTATAAATGATTTCTTTAATGGTTATAGGGTTATGCACAGTATCTGTTTCATTTTGGTTGAATTTGATAGGTTTGAGGTTTCTGAAGAATTGGTTCATTCTGTGTTGTAGAATTTATGAGTGCAAAGTTGTTTGTACTGTTCTCTGTTATCCTTTAATGGCTGAATCTGTAGTGACATCTGTGGTTTCATTCCTGATATAGATGAT